TGGTTTAATTAATTTCTGTGATTCTTCTGATTTAACTACCAGTTTTGGTGCTTCTGATTTAACTAATTTCTCTGATCCTTCTGATTTAACTACCAGTTCTGGTTCTTCTGGCTTCGCTATCGGCTTTGATTCTTCTGATTTGCCTACTGGTTTGGATTCTTCGAGTTTAACTACTGGCTTGGATTCTTCTGGTTTAACTACTTTCTCTGGTTCTTGTGGTTTTAGTACCGACTTGGATTCTTCTGATTTGACCACTGGCTTGGGTTCTTCTGGTCTAACTATCGGCGTTGATTCTTCTGGTTTAACTACTTTCTTTGATTGTTCCGATTGGACTATCGACTCGGGTTCTGTTGGGGTAACGACTTTCTCTGGTTCTTCTGGTTGAAATTGTTCTTGATGTTGTAACTGTTGAAGTAAGTTTTCGTCTTGTTGAATGTAAGAAGGTAAAGGTCGTTCGGGATGAACTAGAAGTAAACGATGTACTGGCCCATCATTTATTTCAACGAGATCGGTGTCGTCTATATGATAATATTGTAAAATACGACGAATATCATTATCCATTGTTCGAATTACAGCGTCCTGGTGTTGTGGTGGCCGCCTTGGTTGTTGTGGTCGAATTAGTTGTTCTGGTCCGCTTGGCCGTTGTAGCCCACGTTCGTGTTGTGGGATGTTCGATTGTTTCAGCCCGCCTGGTTGTTGTGGTACGCCTATTTGTTGTACGCTGCCTGGTTGTTGTTCTCGAACAGGCTGCTGTGGCGCGCCTGGTTGTTGTAGTATTCCTGATTGTTGTGGTTCAGTTGATTGTTGTGACCGAATAGGTTGTTGTGGTCCGTCTGGTCGTTGTTGTCCACCTTGCTGTTGTGGTCGAATAGGTAGTTGTGATTCAGAGAATGGCTGTTGAGGTTGAAAAGGTGGAGAGGTAGGTGATGGTGCCTGTTTTTCAGTGCTGTCTGATCGATCATAATCAAAAGAAAAATAAATTCGAAATATTATTTTTACTAACGAGTTTACTTCTTGAAATTTTATTTTACATCGAACGATCATTTATTCATGACATGTGTGAAAAGTTAAAAATTTTAGAAATGATATTTTTTGGAAAAGAGGATTTCTTAAGTTCGGAAAAGTATTGTACAGAAAATTTATCGGCTTTTGAGCTTGCTATTTTGTTACCACTTTTTTAACGTGCTCTATTTCTTTTATACTCAAGGTGGATATGTAGTAGAACAGTTCTTATTCTGTTAACTTGTGCATATCTCTCAAATATACTCTTTGTTACTTCATACTGTACTGAATGTTTTTAGTTCGAAAGGACTTTCTTTATTAGAACTATAGAGTACGTAATGAAGAAAACCAAAAGCCTGGCCCATATTCTTTTCGTATTTAAAAAATGTGTAAATAGAAGTAACTTTCGCATGGTTTACCTTGACCTAGTTGTGGCGAACGGATTATGTCGTCTCTTTCATTAGTTTTATTTCTTATTATCTTGAAGAATCCAGGCAGAAGAAAGTGTGAATCATGTCCATCATCGGAGGATGTAATCACTGCTCGTACAATTGAATTAATTTTATCAGCATCTAATGGTTTAGTACCGTTCTACGAAGAAAATGTACAATAATAAACAAAGTGAGAAATGATTAAAATAAATAATCCATACTTCAGTAAGAAATTTATATGCCATCAGAGCATAAGGACGACCGAGATTCATTCTTTGAAAGAGCTGCTCAAAAGCAGATGCTAGAATTGTAGGTGATTTATTGTCATTAGTCTTTGTTGAATATAACTCGAATCCAACATTAACTAAATTCTGAACTAAATCTGGTAATTCACCATGTTTCACAATATGATCAATGAGACTAGCCCATGTATCAAGAAACTGATCTAAAGTTAATCGGTCCCTTTTTCCATCGGACAACAGAAATTGATCATGAATGTGTTCCCAAAGAGCTCGTGCAGTTCGACTTAGTCGTGCTTCTAATTCACCGGCGTCTGCTCCTTGTTTTTCTGCAGCGATGACATGAAACTACGAACGAAAACAACATAATTATTAGAAGTTTTTTTTTCTTATTTCTTACCAATAAATAATGCTCAACATCATTCCAAGTTATAAACTTCTTGTTTTCATTGTCTAAAATAAATTTGTAAAATAAAAATCTCTATAATTATATACAATATTTTCGAATATTTTTTATCAAATCGGTGATTAAAAGTACTCTTCAATTATTAATACTTTGTTGACAAAAAACAACATACCGAGATTGACATTGAAGAAGTATTCCGCTTTTTTCCATTGAAAACTGGTGAGATTTTTCGAGTTATCTTTCACTATAGAGAAATCATTCAAAGATGTTGATGCTTGTTTCGTCGTATTGTCATTAGTAATGAAAACAGCATTCTTTTTTACTTGTTCATCTTCGTTTTTCTTTTTATCATTGACAGTTTTAAGAGTATTGTCCGTGTTGAGCACATTTGCAGGATTCATATTCGTACTACTAGCCATTTTAGAACTGCTATTGAAATATGTATTTTGTCCTTATAATTTGCTTGTTTTTATACAACTGGTTGGTGTAAACAAACACACAGATATGCAATGGATAAATAACAACACAATGAGAATAATAAAACGATGTTTTATCAATAGAAGAGCTTACCTTGAAGTTTTAGGTAAACAAATATACTTACTTGAGTGAAAAGACTGAGCTGCCGTTACGTGTATCGATGTTGATGTTATGCCTCATTACTTTTCTCTCATTATTCCTTTTCTTTTTTCGATTGATACAAAAAGACACAATTTAAGCCAAGGTTACTAATCAACAATATTTTTTAATTCGTAACATATATTTGAAAACAAAAACATACATCTAACAATGACAACATGCTAACATTGAATGATCAGTTAGAGCTCACTGAAAAATAAATATTTTATCAGCACAATGTGCAAGTATTTTTTTCTCTACTATGAGTAATAATCTTGTACTAATTTGTTTGTTTGATAATGAGGGCATGCTAACATTATACTTTTGCAAAAAATACATTGAAAAAATAAATATTTTTTGTACAGTGTGCACATATTCTTTTTCTTTACAACGAGTATTCATTTTTTTACTTTTATTTTTGAGATTGGAAAAATGATGACATTGAATAATTAATGAAATGAAAAAACTTTTTAATTGTATTTATTTATATACGAGTAGCGTGTGTTGTAGCAGTTTTTAAAGCAAAAGTGTATAGCATCACATTCTTGTTTTATAATTATAATATGAAACTATAAGAAAAATTGTCATAAGCAGTAATCAAATAGAAGGCTAAATTTGTTGTCTAAACACACTATAATCGATGCTATAGGATGCACATTTATTCTTAATGAATGTTCGAACAAACTTTTTGATACATCAGTAAAAATAGCCCAAGAAAAGTTTAAAATATTTTTTAGGAAGTTTTATTTGACTTCAATTATTGAACTTTTGTCTAAATCAATCAGTTCATCTGACTTGTAAAGCTTTATCCCTATTATAAATATTGTTCTAAGAAAATTTTTCTCTATGTATTCGCACATTCCAATCTTAGCTGAAGTTCATATGTCAAGTGTGACATATTTCATATGTAAATATTTAAGATAAGAAAATAAAACTATTTGAAAAGGCAGTTTTTAATATTGTCATTGCATAAAATTTAATTCAAGTAGTGATATACAACATATAGCTATTTGTTACTTTTTTCATATGCTATTGAGTTCTGTAACTCTTCGTTGGGTAGAACATTAGATAACAATTAGACAGATGAAACAATGATGTTGTTAATAAATCAGAGAGTTTCAAAATTCATTGAAAAAATATCAAACTAAATTTTCTATTGAGTTTGAAAAATAATTGACAATATTGTTCATCGAATAATATCAAGAAGAATAAGACTGTTACATCGTGTGAAATTAATTTATGCTCAGTTACTCTTGAGATATATTTATTTGTTTGATGCTTTTTTTTTTGTTATATATATGAATACTATTTATCAATCAGATTTAAAACGACTCTTAATATGATTAGAAGATCAATTATAGATTTGATTATTATAATTCTCTACGACACTTGCTAACGTTTGAAATTGATGTATTATGAATTGAAATTATTTATTAACTAACTTTAAAACTGTCATACGATTAGGAAGGAGAAGTAGATTGCTTTGCTTCCTCTGAATTTTTCTTGGTTCTTACTGTATGACAGATAGTTCATATAAAAGTGAAGTTCTTCGTCCGATTTTTTTTCACAGCCGGTTATTTTCTTTCGAAGAAAAATACATTGAAAAAATAGAAGATAATATAACTATGTCAAAAGTATGGTTTCATCGTCAACATATCGATAATCCATTTAGTAGATCTTACAAAGTACTATGCACAAAATACACCTCAATATTTGATATTTGAATGGTCTAAATTATATCAAATTTTAATGATTTCACCAAATGAATCTAACGAATTTGAACGAACTTTTAATATACTACAACGAATTGACACAAAACTACGAAATAGTCTGCCACCAAAAGCCTTAGAGACAGCTTTAGAATTTAACATTTTGAAACCATATTTTACGGAAGACGATATAGATGATATTGCAACTCACCTCAGTGTGTATACAGATAGGCAAAAGCTCACAGTATCAAAATATATATAAACACAATTGATGATGAACAGTAGACAAAATACATCACAACTATTAGAAAGAACATTAATTTTAAAACTATTGATGTCAACAATTTTTCGTATGTAATGGAAATATATCAATTGCCATTGATCTGAAATTTCTTTATGAGTTCATTGACAGAAAAAATGATAACGAAGGAAAACGTGTCTATGATTTGTTTTTCATTATTATCATACTTTAACCCTATGACCATGTTGGTCCTTAAGGAGCAGTTTCGCTTTAGGATCATAGGTACTAATATTGAACTGAATTAAAATAAAATAAGAGGAGAAGCAGTACAGAAAACAAGAAAAAGAAATTAAAAAAAAAGCAAAGAGCAGTAGTGTGAAGTAATAAATACAGTGTGAAGAGAGAGAAAAAGAAAAATACAGTGATGATGGAGATACAACGTTTTAAAGAGACAAGTAATACGTATGTATATATGTATTTTTCTTTTCTCTCGTTCTTGTCTTTGCTAAATTCGGATCACACTCCTCACTCCACGTTGTTTTTTTTTCTTTCCTTCTCTGCATCTCATCTCTCTTTGTTGTTCTCTTCTTCTTTTTTTTGTCAGCGTGATATAAAATTGACTATCTAGAAACTTTCTGAAGATAAAACAAAGCATGAAAATTTTCTTCACTGCATACCACCAGGGAACCTAAAGTTTCAGGTGTGTTGTCTTTAATAAAAAGCGTCGTAAGGGACTATTTATAGTTTCAGCGAAGACACTGAACTTTTTATAGTTTTATTCATTTATTACTAAATCATCAAAGGTTCCTAGATAACTTAAAAAACTATGCCAAATAAAAAATGGTTTCAGAGATTTGAGAAAGTTCTATCTCATCCCATTTTTATTTAAGCCGAACTTCTTCTACAAAGATGGTTCTAGTGAAAGTCGTTTGATTTGAACTCGGTTATCTTTTGAATGGTACTTCATTAACATAAATCCAGAAGAGCGTTACTTAGTTAATAGTAATAATAATAATAAGCAGAGATAGGTGCCATTTAATTCGATGATTATAATACGGGTTACCCAATTACTTAACGGCTAGTATAAGGATCAGACTTTTTCTGCATATTATTCCATGGCAAGTCTTTCGATTAGAAAAGACTGATTAGGTAAAAATAAAGGTATTTTTTTATATAAAACTTGACTAACAACATTCATAATCTTTCACGTACTGAAAATACCGTATTAAAAGATACAATAATAGTGAAGCATCAATGACATCAACTAAAGCTGTAAAAAGCAGACTTCCATCATCACCAATACAACGAGAACTGTCATCATGTTTAGCAGCTAAAATAAGTCAGCAGACCGTTTCTCTTTTTCAAGTTCGAATAAGAGAATTTTCTTATCTAAAAGCTGTCTTTGTTTATCCTCTTTGTTATGCATATCAAATCTCACTCTATATAAAAAAAAAGTTTGATTCAGTGAATTTCTTTTTTTAAAGCTTCATCAACATTTGGTATTTTCAGAAAAGAATGTAATATATACAGCGATAGTTATGTATTGTTCATCTTGATACGGCTGTCGACTTCAACATTTGTCAAATACATGCCTCGCAAAAGATTCTGGGACGCCAAACAATTGTTGTCCAAAATTTTATATTATATTCAAATTAAATTTAATATAGGTGGTTGGTATAGTTATTAATTAAGGTTGTATATTATGCTATACAGATACAAGACTTCTTATTTTAATATTAAAAAAAATGGAAAAAACAAAAAAAACTCCAGAGGAAGAAAGTTTATGTTGTTGTTTTTTTTCAGTCGTTAATTTTCCTCTTCAGTCTTCTGTTATTTCTGATTATTCCTTTCGTTGTCCACAGATGTTGTTTTTTCTGAGCGGTTTTTGTTTCGTTTCTTGTCAGATAAACTTGTTTTTATTTATTCTCATGAATATTTCTGTACTTGGTAGGTAATCTATAGTATAGAGACAAGACAAGCCCATGCACTTTAATAATATCGTGTTTTTTGTATAATACTTATACCGACTCAACTTAAATAATTCGCTAGAAAGTCCAGTTTCTAAACGAGCAGTTATTAATTGCCTTCATCAATGTGTTTATGTCTACAGAATTAAAAAAATTAAAGCCATTTCTGAACAATGATAAAAAAAAAACTAGATTTGATTTGTGTTTAGAATATTCTAATAGGACTATTAATAAATGTAGTTTTCAGCGACGAACCAATATTGTACGGAATAAAATGTAAAAATGAAACTAAAACATGAGCAACAAAAGATGAACGATGGAAAAAAGGTGACATGCAACCCCCTGAAACGGGAGATGGTGTTCGTGTTGGATTTTGAGGCTGTATTATTTCCAAAGGAACTGGTTGTTTTCGGATTAACAGTGAGAATACCAATAGTGATGTTTATTGTGACGTTTGAGAAAATAACTTCATTCCTACATTACAACTGTATCAAATGGAAAATGGCTATTTTTATCAACATGATAATGCATGTTATAATGTATCGAAAAAAATTTAAAGAAAAATGTTTTTAATGTATGTTTCAGGACTTCTTGCACCTGGATATTTTTTGTTTTCTTTCCTTGCTTTATACTAAAACAAGACGTTATTTGTCTGTATAGCATAATATGAAACCTTAATGAATTACTATACTAACCTGTTATCTAAAGTTTAAGTCGAGTGTAATATGAAACTTTTGGAAATAATTCTTAGGTGTTCCAGAATTTTTTGCATGATCTGCATCTAGCACATAGAACTGTTCAATTCAAATTCACATAAATGCGGAAGATCTTGATAGGACTTCGTTCAAGATCATATTTTATGACGAAATGTATGTTTCTTGTAATTTATCAAATAATGTAGATTTCTTTTTATTAGGCATATCAATATATTCTGGTGAATGACTAATTTATTTCTATGATAAAGAATTTTATATGAAAATAAGAATTTACGATAACACCTTACAAAAATTTATTTTTGTAAAAATAACTCACATTTTCCTGCTTAGTAGTTTTGCTACATCTTGCTTTTCAATACAATTCGCTTGTTCTTACAGATTATCAATTTTGGATAGTTGTCCGTGTACATCTTTACGCTATCGGTACGGGTGATGGGATACTTTGTACGTTTGACACATGTGGCAGCTAAATAATCGTTATTTATTTGAACTAAAAAAACCTAGCGTTGTTTAAAATTTGAACAATAAGTGACGATTATTGAACGCTAACTTTACGCAATAAAGTGTCTTTCTCAAATCTCTAAAACGTACTAATAATATATAAATTGTGAAGCTCTTCAAAACGAATAGTAAAATAGAACCAAATTTGTCTATATAACTAGCTGTGAGAATATATACATATCAAAGAACAATATTTTGTCCTTCAAAGCGGCAGATGTTACCTACTCGTACTATATTACTGGAATAACTCTTTAATTTTCACTTACGAGACATTCATAGTATATGTTTTCCTACAGAATTAAATGCTCAGTGTATTGTAATACAAAAAAAACATTTAGTCAAAGTGTATACAAACTAAAGGATATATTGAGAAAATACGAAGACTCTCGTTTTTTTATAAGGCACTCTCCACGAAGTATACAGAATCATTTCAAATAAGAAAGAAAGAGACAAAAAAAATAGTTGCCATTCATCTATCCAGTAACCAATAAACATTAGTCACAACGCACATAACAACAAGCAAGAAAAAAAAACTCAAGCCGTGTTAGAAGGAGGCACGTTGTTTTGTTGGCATTTAAAATGTCGACATTTCGATTTGCTACAATCAATGTTCATTCTTTTCGTAACTCAAAGTTTGATAGTAATATATCTGATTTGGTGTCGATTTTTGAACCACTTCATCTAGATTTGATTGCTGTGCAAGAAATACAAAATGATGATAAATGGCAGAAATTTTGTACGCTGTTGTCTTTACCTTATTTTATTTGTGGACAAAATAACAAAGATCTTTTTTGTAATGGTATTGCATCTCGTCATCCCATCAAATCTTATTCAACTCAAATATTAAGTTTTTCATGCCCAGGTGGCAGAAGATCTTTACTGCAATGTAGTTTAGATGGTGATCATCTATTTCTTACTAATCGAATATTTGCTGTAACACATTTAGATCATTTAAATGAAGATGATCGATTACATCAAATAGAAGAATTTAATCCATATCAACAAAACATTGATATTTTAATGGGTGATATGAATGCCTTAACAAGAGAAGATTATTCTGATGGTTACTATCGAGATAAAGTTGTTGAAATTCGAAGACAATCTCAATGGGAAGAACCACGTTTTGATTTGACAAGTTTAATAAGACATAAATGGAAATATGAAGACGCTTTTAGATTAATAAATCCAACATTAAAAAATGAACAAGTATCAACATGTTCGTATGGAACTCGTATTGATTATATTTATTTACGTCCTAGGAATGACGATCAATGGATATTAACAAAATGCTCGATTATTGATACTCAAGGGGTCACTGATCATAATGCTGTTTTCGCTGAATTTGAACAAAAACAAATATAAAAATAAAGATACTTCGCTTCTATGTGAATATCGTGCGTGAAAATATTCTGGATATATGATTTACATGTTTTTCAAACGCATGTACTTTTTAGAAATATTACTTTAATTTTTCATTTGCCTAAGAACACGATTCTCTTATAATTCAATAGTTACATTAAAATGTATATACGTTTTTCATCGATGAAAATGCAATTCAAGTTCAAATAATATCAGATAGATTTATCATAAGTAGAGATATGCGAGTTAGGGTAGAGTGAGGGTACAATAAGAGTAAGAAACGAGTACGGTAGAATACGATCAGTGTAAGAAAATCAATAAAGTCATGGCAAATGTGTTTTATTATTAGGTTTTTCGATCATCCTCACAGGATTATAAAAGAATGGCGAGTTTTGAGCGACATCTTATGAAGGCCATTACTCAAACGGATCAATAGAAAAAAGCTATTGCACTGGGTATACAATTCGTAACTCGATCGAAAGTAATATCAGTTTATTAGTTGTTCATCGTCTTTTACTGTTTTGCTTGAATCAATAATATTGTGACTACAATCGATGCCTTGTTTGTTAATATGTTGAACAAATCATTGAAACATAAATTCCAAGAGAGGAAAAAAAGAAATCATATCAGATATTAAACGAGGTAGATTGTGTACAACTAAGGAACTCTGAGCAGTTTCAACCGGAGAATTCTAGTCGAATTGGCTTCAAATAAAACATTCGAGTGATGTGTATGAAACGTTTGTTCAATGTATAATTTCTTAACAAATATTGTTATATAATGTCAAAATGAAACAAAATCACTTAATGTTTATATAAAGATTTGCGCAAAGAAAAGTAATGTAACAAAACTTATGAAACTAATTGAAAATTATACTAAAAGAAGCTGTGGTGTATCACTTGATGATAAAAGAACGATAATCATTGCATGTTCGCAATGTTGTGTATTTGATATCCGCTCTTTTAATTCGGTTCATAGTGATGACTTCAAACAATTGTGTCAAACGTTAATTGATATAGGTTAAAACTATGGATCAGTAAACCAAGTATAAACCATCAGTTGAAGCATTGCCTCCTGATTGCACTAATATAATATGTCAAGTACTATTAAATAAATTACCAATGAATAATGTTCGAAGATGAATGAAATAGTAAATCAAGAATAAGAACAGGTAAAATTAGTTGTTATCAGTACCGATTATTGAAAAAGTAACAATACTGGTGATAGTTAGTTAACTGAAAATATTTATTATACAAAAGGTGATAATCTTGTTACATATATGTTAAAATGAATTTCATTCTCAGGAACCAAAAGTTGTGAAAGTACAATTTAAACGAATAAAATGGCCTTGAGATTATTTCAAATAGATCCAGATGTTACATATATTGTATATTTAACTGAAAATGCTTCAAAGTTCATTTCTGATTTAAAGGAAGGAATTCATTTAAGATGCATTTGTAAGTAAATTTTAATAGGTTAAACAACATTTTTTTCTAATGGTAAACGAGTGTTATTTCAACAATGGAAGTCAACGTTTGAACAAAGGGTTTCTTTCATTTTAAAAAACCTAACAGAAGAATGAGTGTTTTGATTTCCTAGAACATGATCTAAAATAAAAAAAAATAGTTTAATAATTTAAAAACTGTGTTTCTTTTTTTAGATCATTGTTTGAATCTCGTTATCCAACATTTATTGAACAATATCCAAACGTTCATCTATTTGTTCAGCAGCTGCTGAACTTGTTAGTCATTTTAAACGTTGTGCATTGAATCATTTTTTTATATTTGTCTATAAAGCAATACTGTGAAACTAGATGGAATTCGGTCCATGATATGTTAGGTTCTATGACTGTAAACTTTAAAGAAATCGAAGATATTCTTTTAGAGAGTAAATGATTTACCGTTTACTTAGATAAAATTGATTAGATATTGTTAAAAAATATACTAATAATTTACCTATCATCAAACAATTTAAGAAAATCATTTTAGGACGAATAAGTGAAAGTTTCGACTTA